GTTGTATAGCTTTTCATAAGGAGTGAGGTTCCCCAGAACAATTGTGGGAACCCTGTTGATCAAATAAACTGAATGCTTGACACAATCTGCCCAAAAGGCAGGAGGAAGGTTGGATTGGAATTTGAAAGCTCTAGCTACAGAAAGGATGTGTTGATGCTTCCTTTCCACTTTGTTATTTTGTTGTGGAGTCTCAACACAGGATTGTTCATGGAGAATGCCAGTGTGATTGAAAAAATCTGTCATGGCAAACTCTCTACCCTGGTCACTTCTAATCTTCCTGATGTGGGTTTGGAATTGTCTCTCAACATAGGAACAGAATGCTTGTAGCTTAGGTCTAGCTTTCGACTTGGCTTGTAAAAGAATTATCCAATTCATTCTAGTGAAATCATCAACGATTGTTAAGAAATACTTGAAACCATCATAACTAGGAATTGGATTAGGCCCCCATATATCAACATGCAAAAGTTCAAAAGCATGTGTAGTTACAGAAGTACTTGAAGGGAAAGGAAGTCTCTTCTGTCTAGCAAAATGACAGACATCACAGGGTATAGAACTGTTTGTATCTATCTGTGGACAAAAAGTTTGCAAAATGGGCACTTTGGAATGGGATACATGTCCTAGTCTATGGTGCCAAATGTCAAATGTCTTTGTGCTGGCTGCTGTGATGTGTTGGGAGGGATTGGTATCTACAGGAGTCTCTAGGTGGTAAAGGCCATAGGATAGCTTAGCAGAACCAGTCATCCTCCTCAGCTGCATATCCTGAATCAAGTAGACATCAGAGAAGAAGGTCAAGCAAAGGGATCTGTTTTTGGTCAGTTGACTGACAGAGATAAGGTTGAAGCTAAATTGTGGAACAAATAGAGCTTCATGCAACACTAGGCCTACAACACAAGTAATTGTGCCTGAATGTGTTGCTTGAACTTTGTCTCCTGTAGGAAGGGTGATATAGATGTTCTGTATGGGTCTGTAGTTGGATAGATGATTGAGAGAACACATAACATGGTCAGAAGCACCTGTATCCAATATCCAGGTTTGATGATGTGGTGATTTATCACTCACATTGAGCAGGAATTTACCTGAGGAATCTGGTGTCCTATTGATGAAACTGGCAGCTGAAAAGGAGGGACCTGAACTTGTGGAAGGTTTGGAGTTGCCTTTGTCATTCATGAGAGACATAATCTTCAGGTAGTTAGCTTTTGTAAGCTAGACTTCTTGATTGAGATCTTCTGAAGTAACAGAATGAGCTTGAGGTTTAGCTCTGGTTGGAGGCCTGGGATTTGGATATCCATGCTTGTTGTAGCACTTCTCTTCAGTATGTCCTGGTTTCTTGCAGTAGGTACACTCAATTGTCCTAGTAGAAGCATTTGCGGGTTTGGTACTCATCCCTGGTGGCCACCCATGTTTGTGGTAGCAAGTTTCCTCTGTGTGACCAAGAAACTTGCAATGAGTGCAGTAAGGTCTCGGTCTTCTGATCTGGGAAGTGTTGGAGCTTTGTGCTGCTAAGCTCATTGTGTTCACTGCAAGAACCCTGTTGAGTTGTGTACCATATTGTTGTCTCTCATGTTGGAGCATCCTTTGAAACACACGATCAATGTTTGGCAATGTGTCTCCAAAGAGAACTTGAGATCTCACAGTTGAGCAATTCTCATTCAGACCTCTTAGAAACGGAATAACAGAGTTTGTGTCTTTGTATTGAAAAACTAGTCTCATAGCTGCACATGTTTCTCTACTGGTGGGAGTACAAGTGCAGTGTTCAAGGGGCTGATAATTATCCAACTCATCTCGAATTGCAATGAAATTACCATAGTATTCTGTGACAGATTGACTACCTTGTTTGAGATTGCTGAGGTTTTCAGTGAGCTCAGCAATTCTGACCACATCTCCTTGACCATAGCGAGATCTCAAACTCCTCCAGGCTTCAAGAGATGTCTTGCAGAACATAATGGTCTTGCGGATGCTAGCTTCAACTGCTTGCTGAATCCAGGAAAGTACCATGACATTGTTCCTATTCCAGGCCCAAGCATTCTGGTGATCTTCTCCTGGGTGTGGAATGGAACCATTGATGAAGCCAAGCTTGTTCTTGGCCCCCAATGCATTTAGCATGGCTTGGCTCCAGTCATTGTAATTGGTGGTGGTTAGTTTCTCACCCACCAAGACAAGACCGGGCTGCTCTGAACCATGTAAATAATAGGGATCTGACATAGGATCAACAGCAAGCTGGTGCTGTGAATTCGCAGCAGCAGCTGGATCTGCTTGAGCAAAATCGTCCATGTTTGTGGCGACTAGGGTTTAGAAGGGCTCTGATACCATAACAACGTTTTGTTGGAAACCCTAAAAGCCTGGGTTCATCTCATTTTACTCTTCAGCTTATATAGCTGAGTAGAACAGTACAGAGTTGAGTAGTTGCTTACAATTCAAGAAAGAAGACAAAACGTAGAGAAAAAGAAAGTACAAGCCGAAAATGGTAAAATGTTGAAATAAGAAGATCAGGTACTGATTGGCATTTTGCCAGAAACGACGTCACTCCACGAACGTTTCTTTAACTCTGCTGATGGTGGAACGTCGTCGCTTTGAATCGTCTCCTTCCCTCTTGTAGACGACTCTGCTCCATTGTTGACCGTTGGAGATTTGAATTGCAGCGGCAGCGGTGAAAATCTTCCGTTTTCCCTTGATATCGAATCCCTGCCTCTAGTAACCTTCAGAGGAATGCAGACCAATGTACTCCTCCCTTTCTCACCGCAAGTAATCCGTCGTCGCCGCTTCCTCCTGTCATTCTCCTGATCCAAACAAAATTCCATAGAAATCCCGCCACCCATCTTTGTGTGTTGCCATCGATCCGCCCGAGAACCAATTCATGTTCCAATTAGATCATGACCCAATCGTCTGCAGCTCGAGCTTGATCCGCCCAATCCCTTGGAGTTGGCTGTCGCCGCGAAGAAAGTGGGTCTTTGGGGGATTTTTTTTTTACCAAGTGGGTTAATTAGCTGCTACTTAAATGGCGTGTGCATGGGAGACCCATTGGGGTTAGGTTTAGGGTTTAAATACTTCAGAGGTGTTTCACGAATTTCATAATTACAGGTGAGTTTAATCTAGAACTCATTTAATGTCCGTAACTTCCTTGTTATATGTCGAAACTCGACACCATTTAAACTGAGGGTTCACATTTTGAGTCCTCATTACTATTACGGTGGAATTTGACGAATTTCACCAATGGCAAACTATTTATTTCTCCCTCCGTTGGAAAAATTTCATCCCCGAAATTGAACTTGGATGAAATTGCTTTGGTCTGGATGTAACACTTCAGGAGCCCAAAGGCTTGGGGGAGTTGTGAATGGAACAGTTACGACGGAGGAGAAAATATGGAAATAGACCAGTAACCGCTACAAGGTCGACAATGGCGGGGAAAAAGACAGAAACAAAAGAGAAGAAGAGGACAAACATGAGGGCCACAATTGTGCACCGAAAACTTTTAATCGTGATTGTGACCAACAATAGTTTTGCGGTGAAGTGGAGCTTCACAATAGCCGATGCAAGCTATGTTAGATGTATGATGGTTTGTCACCGGTGAATTTTATCAGCTACAAAGAAATCGGCGAGGAACATCGGCAAATGCTCGACGGCAACAAAGAACCCTTTTCAGCTTTAGTCGAAACTTGTTTTTCTCGTAGGGTTTGTAATTGAGTTCTTTAATTTCCATGAGAGTGTTTATTTAGTTATTTTTTAATTAACGATAAGAGTCACCAATTAATACCTATAATAAATTGATTCATTAAAAAAAAAAGACTGATTCTCCCGCAAAAGCACCTATACGCAGAAAAATGAGTTTGCTTTTCTAATTTGGCTTAATACCCCATTTTGGCCCGAAGTTTGGCGATAGTGACGATTTTGGCCCCAACTTTTCAATAAGACAGTTATGACCAACTTTTCAAAATATTGGACAGATTTGGCCTAAAATTTATTTTGACTGTTAAAACTGACGGTCAAAACTTATTCCGTTTAACTCAACATAAAAAATGTTGAGGTGGCTCTGACGTGGCTGCCACATCAGTTGAGGTGGCTCTGACGTGGCTGCCACATCAGTTATTTAGTGGGTAATGTTGAGTTAAACGGAATAAGTTTTGACCGTCAGTTTTAACAGTCAAAATAAATTTTAGGCCAAATCTGTCCAATATTTTGAAAACTTGGCCATAACTGTCTTATTGAAAAGTTGGGACCAAAATCGTCACTATCGCCAAACTTCGGGCCAAAATAGGGTATTAAGCCTTCTAATTTTGATGCCCATTAATTACTATACACATGGCGGGCTTGGATTGGTGCACCACATCATCTGACCTCCCTAGTGCAGCGGCTTACCTAAATTCTCCTCCCAATTATGTGTAGATAATATTTATTATAGTTTTCATATATTTCCACTTTAGAGTATGAAACCTTAAGTATTATTTAGATTATCAATAACATATTAAACATCTTCTGCAAATTGATCATTCTATCTTTCGTGTGTATATAATTAAGGTTTAATACACTTGTATATTCAAAATTTTCACGGTTGTGCCAATAATATCCAAATTTCCCGAAATACCACTTATATCCATATTTTAAAGTTGCTCTTTTCCAAATCTATCCATTTCCCAATATATTTTTGGTTAAATACACTTGTACATCCAAAAATACCGTTAAAGAATGTGAAGGAATTGTATATAAGTGGTATTTCGAGAAATTTGAATATTATTGACACAACCGTGAAAGTTTTGGATATACAAATGTATTTAACATATAATTAATCACATCACCTTTATGAAAAAAAATAATTTTTATGTATGAATCGAATGATCAAATTATAATTTTGTGGTCATCGGAATTTGAAGGACCAAATATTTGGGATTTTCTAGTAAAAAGCAAGAAAGGCTGATTTAAATTCCCCCGAAAATTCCGACAAAAAAAAAAATTTCGTCCAAAAATTAAATTAGAAACTCGTGTCGTTCTGGCTTCTGCCTTGCCCAGTTGCCCTTTTCCCTTTTCCTCCCAGTTCCGGTAAAAATCTGCGATTAGAAAACTAAAAGAAGAAAGTCCCAAATCCATGGTGGTTTGCTATTCCCGTTTCCTCTCTAAGAAGCCTTGTTGATCCCTAGAATTCACCCTCTACACATCGAGCCCGCCAAATTTAGCCATTCCTTCCTCTCCAGTCCATTTCAGCTGGCTTGCTGCGTGACGGCTCTCCATTGGAGCTTCGGCGCTTGCCCTCTTTTGCTACCGGCCGTTTGCGTGTTCGTGAAAACTGACTCCGGCGGAGGTACATCAGCTAAGGCGTAATTGAATCTAGGGTTGATTCCTCAACTTGCGAAGCTACTAATTCGGTTGGAAGAATCGCTTCCTTGCTAGGTTTTCTGATTGCGAATTCATTCAGATTATGTAGCGGAAGCAGGATTAGTGGTGAATCTTCGCGTATTTATGAATGCCACGCAGTTTTGAATAAATTATTCTTTCTGCGTGGAAAAATTCGCTGGCTTTTTTAGTTTGTGTCCGCGTCCCCTCAGCTGGACTGTGTTGGGAAGAGCAGCAGGATTAGCGAAGCGTCCGGGAATTTCAGAATTAGGGTGAAGTAGAGGATTGGGAGTCGAGAAAGTGAAGTTGAATAAGTTTTTTTTCCCCATTGGGGTTTCTCTGAAGGAAGCAAGACGTAGAAGAAAGAAGAAAAGGTTGAAACTTTGTAGTGTAGGGTTGTTGTTTTGACTGTTAGCAATGGCCTCTTACAGGCCATTCCCTCCACAGTCGGCTTTTCCTCAACCTCCACCTCCACCACCGAATCAAGCGCCACCACCTCAGCCACCTCCACCACCGCAGCAACCACCACACAGGCCAAACCAGTACAGTCAAAACTATGCACCTCATATGCCTCCTCCTCCTCCTCCTACATCATTCCCACAGAACTATTCACAACAGCAGAATTTTCCATATCCTCATCCAAGAGCTCAGCCGCCACCTTCTCACCAGCAATACCCTTATCAGCCTCCTCCTCCAATGCCAGCAGCACCGCCACCTCCACTTCCTGACTCTTCATATCCTCCTCCACCTCCACCGCCAGGGCCAAGTCAACCACAACAGCAACAGTCATCATCTATGTATTACCGACCTTCTCAATTTTCACAGTATAATCAACCGCCAATGCAGCCCATCCCTCCTCCTCCCCCTTCTTCTTCTCCGAGTTCCTCAATGCCGCCACCACCACCACCACCACCCAGCTCGCCGCCTCCTCCGCCACCTCCAAAAGAAAGTGGGGTGGAAAGAGAGAGAGGGGGTTCGAGGGACAAGAGAGAGCACAGGAACTTGGAGCATGGGAAATCAAATCAGCAGAAACTTCCAATTCCTCCACCCTCCAAGAAGGCCAACGGGGCAGTAGGAAGGGTAGAGACAGAGGAAGAGAGAAGATTGAGGAAGAAGAGGGAATTCGAGAAGCAAAGACACGAGGATAAACATAGGCAGCAGATGAAAGAGTCACAGAACTCGAATCTGCACAAGAGTCAGATTGCATCTTCTCATAAGGGACATGGTTCTATTATTGGGCAACGGGTTGGGGATAGGAGGGCCACACCGTTATTGACTGCAGAAAGGAATGAGAACAGGTTGAAAAAGCCAACAACATTCTTGTGCAAGCTGAAGTGAGTATTGTTGACCTTGCTTGTCAATTTCATTTGTTTGCTTAAAGCTCAAGGTGTTCCTGTTAGAATGCTGATGCTGTTCCATAAAATACATCAACGTTGTTTGTGAGTAAATTTCTTAGTATTCAGCTGTCGATGCAATTTGTGTATTCAACTTTTACTTTTTCGGTAAATTGCTCCTTTGCTTGTAGTTAGTCAACTCAACGACCAATTTCATTATAACGTGTACTGGAATAAGTTGTCTCTGAAGCTATGAGTAGTTCTATGTTGAGTTTCATTTAATCTCATTTGAAGTTGAGTCTCAAAGTTGGCCAATGTCTTGATGTAGTGTGTCAATAAACAGAGTAAATGTTTGCTTCTTCCATGTTGCCTTTAGTGATGAATGAAGAAGTAAAAATAAAAATTTGTGCAATCTCTGCATTAAGTGTACACATTTCATTTGTGATTTTATATGTCGAACCCTGAAGAAAATTGATAAGACATATCGTAGTCGATTATTTGTCTAGTGTACCTTCAAGTTACTCAAGGATCATGCATGGGGTTAGATTGCAGAATTTGTGCATTGCTCCCGCCTATCTAGATCCAATTTACATATGCATCATTCGCCAAATTAAGGAGAAAAGAGAAAGAAAAACCACTAATTCTTTGTTTCTTTGTTCCGCTAAGCACTTTGATAATAACTACAAGGTTGTTGCTTTAGTAAAGTAGGTTATGCAATTTGATTTTGTTCTAGGATATAGCATGCTGTCTCCACTTTTTATTGCCATCTCCAAAGTCAAGTTGTATGAAAAAGAAAATTATGTTGATTATTTCCTATTCCTTTCGTAAACAATGTTCGTATACCTACTAATATAGTTATCCATGTGCTTGTTGAAGATTCCGTAATGAACTTCCAGATCCAAGTGGACAGCCAAAATTTATGAGAATGAAGAAAGATGACGACCGGTATGTGTCTGTACAGCCTCTCTTCGTCTTATATTTTTGTTAGCAATTTGAAATCAGTCTAAACTGCATTGATGATGTATTTCTTTAATATCTGTTTAGTACTGCATTTGATTTTAATTATCTGAGGTATCTGGGACGTTCATTGCAGCCTGACTGATTGAGCATGGAAGTAATTGAGGATATCTTTAATTTCAGAATATAGAAACCTATTCGCCTGATCACTTAGCCAACAATAAGCATGAAAGCCCAATTTGTGCTGCAATTTATGGGACGTTATGACAGCATTATCGGTAACTTTGGACAAATATGCTTGGAGAGGCCTGCAAAAAGGGGCTCAAGTTTGCAACTACACTTTCTTCTTGCTGCTTCATCTCCACAAAGTTATTGTTTGTGTTGTCCTAGAACTAGAAGTCTGTTGAAAGCTTTATAGATTTATCAAACTTCTTGATGTACAATGCTTAATGAAACTAATTTCAGGATAAGGGAATGGTTGGAGAACTGCGATTAACCGTAGTTCTCGATGTACTTCTTAATAAATGCTTGTTAACCATAGTTGTTTGTGATTAACCATTTTTGTGATGATAGAACTGTGAGTTGTCAGCAACGATTTCTGTTCCACACTACATAATCTAGTTACAATTGGATGCAATGCAGGTTTACTAAGTACATGATCACTTCTTTGGAGAAGATGTATAAGCCAAAGCTATATGTCGAGCCAGATCTTGGGATTCCTCTTGACCTCCTTGATCTCAGTGTTTATAAGTATTACTCTTAAGCCTTCAAATATTTGTCTCGTGTGTGTGTAATCTATGTGTCAGATCTGATCTTTTGTTGTACTTGTTATACCAGTCCCCCAAGTGTGAGACCACCTCTGGACTTGGAGGATGAGGAATTGTTGCAGGATGATGAGGCACATACCCCCGTGAAAAAAGATGGGATAAAAAGAAAAGAAAGGCCAACTGATAAAGGCGTGTCATGGCTAGTCAAAACACAGTATATATCTGGTTATAGCATGGACTTGAACAAGCAGGTACAGTCTATACCACAACTCCTTCCTAGATTACCTTGATGCTGTATCATAACCTGTTCTTATGTCCTGCAGTCTAATACTGACAAGCAAGCAAAGGACCGAGAAAAGAAAGGAGCCCACCTCTTGGACAACCTTAATGATAGGTATGTTCATGTGACCTTATGAGTGTGAATCATTAACTGCACAAGTATTTAGTCTTGTGTTGACGATGAGATATTGATATTAACTTCATTTTTCTTATAATACTTGGACTGCACTTTCAGGGAGAGACAGATCAAAGACATCGAGGCATCATTTGAGGCATGCAAGTTACCACCTGTCCACGCAACCAATAAAAACTTGCATCCTGTGGAGGTTTTGCCACTGTTACCTGATTTTGATCGGTATGGTGCTATCTAATGCTTTATGATTCTTGAATCATTTAATTGCAGCCGGTCTCTTATGTGGTTTTTGGTCAGTCTGATTTGAGAATTTGATGGCATAACAAACCAGCTTTCGCCATGTTCGGCAGAAGACTGTTTATCAGATGCAATTTAAGTGGAATAATAACCATTTAAAGAGAAATTATCTACCTTCATCTCTTATCGTCTCGGTCTTGTTTTTGTGCATCTTCTGAAGTGAATATTTCCTTGCAGTGATGAGAGTTAAATATCAATAACAAATATGTGTTCTTGAATGCTATAAGCATGAGCTTGTTATGAAGAGGTTCAGTGTTTGTATTTGATGTTTTATAATTGCTTATGGCGAGTTGGGCGTATTGAAGAAGAAAATGAAATGAAGTAGAAATCAGGAAAATTGTATGAAGAAGTATGGAAATGAAGTGGATAAGTTATTGTTTTAACAGAGCGTGGTTAACTTACTTCTTTTGTGTTCTCTGTTATTGCACTGGGTTAGGGCATTTTAAGATTCCAATAAACCTGCGACCTGTGATGTTGAACCAGGTATGAAGGTAAATTCACCATGGTGACATTTGACGGTGCTCCTACAGCTGACTCTGAACAATATGGCAAGTTGGATCAGTCTGTTCGAGATGACTGTGAATCACGGGTAAGTTATAGGAAATCTTGATTGCATTCCACATCAGAATAGTATGATGCCCGTCTCAGATTAGGTTTAAAAGTAATTTAGTTTGTGTGTGAGTACAGGCTGTTATGAAGGCCTGTGTGATCTCAGGCCCTGATCCGGCAAATCCAGAGAAGTTCTTGGGCTATATGGTTCCTAATCCTAATGAGGTAGTACTTCTCAATCTAGAGGATGAACCTTCAGCACAATTTGTTTTCAGAATATTAGATTTCTATCTATATTTTTGTCCATGTGTGGTGTGTCATTGATATCGCTACTGTTTGTCATCTCAATGTGTTCTCTATGTTGCAGCTGTCAAAGGATATGTTTGATGAAGACGAGGATATCTCATATTCCTGGATTCGAGAATACAATTGGGATGTAAGTATTGCTCAAATTTATTGAAGGCTAGCAAGTAGATCCTGAGTCTGGTTGATTTATTTTCTCATGGGTTCAACAGGTACGTGGTGACGATGGTGAACCAACAACGTTCGTTGTTTCGTTTGATGAGTCTGAAGCTCGATATCTGGTATCGTCACTGTCCTCAATATCTGTGTATTCGAAAGTGCTATTTATGTATGTGATTGGAGCATCCATCAATATATGTGTCTCATTGTGGCAGCCACTTCCGTCGAAGATTACATTGAAAAGGAAAAGAGCCATAGAGGGAAGATCCAATGACGAGGTTGAACATTTCCCTGCACCCGGAAGAGTGACTGCCAGGTGGCGCCGTGAAGCAGCTTCAATCGAGCTTAGGGAACCAGGGGTATCGAAAGAAAAAGACCTGTTACTCTCTAAAAATCATCCTCCCAAGTAATATTTCTACATGTCATCTGACTTCCATTCATGCATTTTCAGGTTAGTAGCATAAAATCAAGAGGTAACAACTCAAAGTCGAGGATGACGGCACGGTCTGAAGATGAAGAAGAAGACGAATACGATGATGATGACCTCGAAGAGAGACAGCATAAGATGTCCCGGAACCAAGATATCAACCAATATAGTGCTGGCGAAGATGAATTTTCTGACGAATAAACAAGTTTTATGGTGGTGGATACAATTTTTTCGATACCAGAAAAGAGGGTGTTGGGTAGAGAAGAAGGATTGTCAGGGGTTGTAAAATAGAAAGTTGCCAGAGGAAGTTGGCTTCTTTTCTGGGTTTCTACTCTCTGCTCTTTTTGCTGAGAAATGAACGCTTCTCTCACAGCGCTTCTCATTGATATAAATTTTGCACGTTTATATGTAAGGTAACCAATTGTTCTTACGGATCAAGTCCTTGTAACATTACTGCTAGGAAAACTTTTTTAGAAACTTGACGAGCAAAATGAATGAATGAACTACGATTAACGCTTTATGCTTACATCGGCTTCGATTGACTTTGGCTCCAAAGTTCCATAGATATATAACAATGTACAGAAAATGACCGTACAATTTTGCTTCGTCCGTTTACAGATTTAAATGACCGTAGTTTCTTCAGATGTAACACTTCTTCATGCAATAGAAGCCCTGTTTTTCCAACATTCCGAAAAAAGAAAACAGTTAGGGTGTTGGCAATCTGGGTTAGGGAGAACTGCAATATGTTTGAAGAACTGACCATGCTTGCCGACATTTGACAGCCTCTTGACGAACGACTCTCTTTGGGTCATCTAGAGCTTTAGACACAGCTTGCAACACCTGCAAGAATTAATGCCGAGTTACTAAATCTTTTCACTAATCTAACCATTTGAGGCCCTTTAAGGCTTTAGCGTGTTATTACTTATTAGGGCCACGGCTCATTTGAAACTAACCTGAATTCTTCTGGGATAAATCTTTGTGTAAGGCAGCTGAGACATAGCAGTGAGACACTGAATTGCAGTCTCCCTAACAAGCTTTAAAAAATGCACCAAAACAACACAAAAAACTGGTTCAGTGATATACCAGTGCTAAGAGAGATTTCATGCCCTAAAAATGTGAAAACAGAAGTACAGCAGACAGATTTCTCATCAAGGACAGCGTATATTACCATCCTGTGAGGATACCCGATGAGCTGAACAAGGCAATTAACGATGATATGAGCATTTTCTATAACCGCTTCTTGTCCTGCATCAACAAATAAAGAAGAGAACTTTAGGCAAAAGGCTTATCACATCTTAAACATGATCCACAATCTAAAGGAGCAGAGTGTTTGAAGTGCTTGAGACGGAGGGAGAGAGAGATACCAGTATTATCTGTCAGTATTCCTGATAACACCAGCAAGAGACTGTACAGACCATCTTTCTCAGAAACATAATTACTCAACATGTTCATGCCATTCACCAGCAGTGAAACTAACTGAAACACCGGTAAATACTGTGAATAGAGCAGGTTCTTGTGACCAGATCAAATTAGAAGTGTAACCGAATATATAATAAAAAACGTACCTTTTTCGCATCGTTCAATATTGCCAAGAGAGGAGTTTCAGATATAACATGGCCAAAAGCCCGATAAACCAGGCATCTGAAACAACAAGAAAGGTTGTTAGTCATCATCAAATTGATATGATAATTTTTGAAACCATAGTACAGTGTAGATATATGTAATATGCATTTTTTTAAGTTGAAAGAAGAACCGCATGTTACCTGGAGAGTGGTGACTCGGAGTTAACAATCAAAGATTCCAGGAGGGGCATCATGATAGAGAAGAATCTTTGCTTGTAAAGAGGGCGTACCATTGCATGAAACTCACGGTTCAAACAAAGATCTGAATCTCTCACAAGAATTTGAAATGCATCAGCGGCAGATTCTGCCACAGATGGAAAACACTCATTTGCTTCATGACAGTTATCTGATGAATATTGCTTCAATGGCAAAGAACTTGTCTTGCCATATTCCAGTAAACACTTCAGGAGAAGCATAACTATGTCCTTAACTCTCTCATGGCCACGCATGAGCAAACCTTTCCCTATCCATGCCAGTCCGGTGATGGCATCATCAAAAGAGTCCAAGGAATCTTTGCTAAAAACCATATCTATTGCTTGCTCAAGGGTAAACACCTCTAAAGTCTCTGTTACACTGGACTTCGGATTCAACTTATTAACCATAGAACCATATGCCTGAGCTGCTATAACATTACCCTCGAGGAAGAAAACCCTAAATACATGTGCAATTGATCTCAGATTTGGAACTTCAGCTTGAGGATGAAGTCCTATAACCACTGATGCAAATAATGAGAGGACCAAATCATCCCTGTTGGACAATTTGTCTATTTCTTGAGTCAGTTTGAACTCTTCCAAGGGTATTGGGAAAGAAGTTATCGATGAAAACGCACTATAAGCCTTATTAACAATTAAGTTCTGGCTTTCCACCCCACAACATGCCACAGCAAGCTTCATCACTTTAATCATTGCATCAAGAAGTTCCTGGTGCCAAAAATTTCAAGTTATCACCTTTTTTCAGAGCTTTAACGAATATTAAACTAAATTGTGAACCTATTGTGGGGCTGGAAAACAATATTACAAGAAGAAAAGCCAATTGCTTACTTTATTATTTACACAAACAGTGAGAGGCAGGCTCTCTATTGTCTTCCAGATGCTATCAGCAAATCTTAACAACATTTCCTCAGATCCTTCATTATTCTGCATCCTGAGTTTGAACAGTGCTTAATGTGAAAAGGTGCATTGGGTTCAATATAAATAAATACAAATAAAGAACACATTAAGAATACCCTGGGAAGTATGTACCATGGGATCAGCTCGGTTGAATAACATTCCAAAAGCTGACTCGTAGTCTTGGCCAAAGTTATGTTACCTTCAACCTGTGTTAGAAATAAAAGAGTTCAACATCAACAAACTGTTGGCAAGCTGGCAGTTATCTTCTTCATTTCTTATGATTCGATAAAAATGAAGTATTTAAAATCCAATGAGGAAAAAGAAAGAAGTGGAAGTGGTTTTACTTACGTAAATGGCAATCAGATTGGTAGTTATAACCTCTTCCAGTTTTAGGAGAATCCGTATCATATATTTTAGGCTACTTCTGCCAACATTGGACAAGGCTTCAAGTTTGAGTCTCAATGGCAAATCAAACTCAGTAGATGACACCAAGTGAGCAAATTTCTCAACAACAACATTAATATATCTCATTTCTTTGTCTACTTCATCAAAATTTTCAATGAATCTGCCGATATCTACAAGCGCTTTCAATGCTAGCCTCCACAAGTATATCTTGTTGGAATCCTCCAGAACAACGGAAACCAATTTCCCCAAAATAACTTCGAAGGTTGAATTTGATATTAGTAAATTGCCTCCAGGCAGTAAAGCAAGCACCTGCAACCCTTTCACTGCATATGAATATCAACTGTAAGATTCAGACAGTAACATGGATTAATAATCAGAAGATAGAATGCAGAAAGCAAAGGTTTTAAGGCATAAGAGCAGGTAACAATCAGATCTGCAAGCAACCGAATGCAAATAGTAAAAGCTAACATAGAGCAGGTAACTTTATTTTTCACGCGCTTACCTGCAAGACATAAATAGTCATCATTGGCAGGTTCGTTCTTTTCCAAGAAAGAACTGAAAGTCTCACTCAAAGGCCCACAGACGCGTTGAAGTAAGCAGCACCAAATGTCATTTTGGGAATTGATTCGACACACAAGATCCTCATTACTGATTCTCAAATCTCTGCATGCCTTCAGAAGTTCGATGGACAGATAAAGAGACCCAAAGTTTGTTCTTCTGGAGAGAACACCATTTCCATTCGAATTGCACAAATGAGAAGATGTACTATCAAGTGAAAGCTCCAACCCCTCCATCAGCCGAGGCAAGAAACATTCAACAATTTTTTGGCAGGAAGAAACAGAAGATTGTGCTGAAACATACAAGATATGACCAATGACAAGTAGTCTCCGTTTGTTATGCAAGGGAATCTTGTCATAACTATTATAACTAGAAATGGTGTTGAAAACTGTGTTTATGTCTTCATCAGAAGTAATTAAACTGACGAATGGCCCATTGTCTAGAGATATCATCTTTTCCAACAGTCCAAAAGCTTCTGTAGGTATTTCATTCTCCATAGCATCTTGACTATCCAGAGAAAAAGATGAGGGCGGCTCTGGTCCTGTTGCATATATTGTGTCTTTTAAAGAAGACCAAATAGCTTTAGCATGTTTTCCCATTCTATCTGTGCCATATTTTGTTGCACAGTAATTCAAGGACTTCAAAGAATCAACCTGTCGAGATGGAAAAAAACAGCCAAATCGTTCAACTCAGCCCACATACTAAACCAACACTCTCATGCACCAAAAGAGCTTGCTTTTCCATAAAAGATTAGAAAGACTAACCTTTGCTGATGGCAGGGATGAGGAGAGTTTCTCAAGCAACAAAGGAACAGCAAAGGGCTCAAAAAGTGGTGTCGCAGCAAATGCCATCTGATACAAATAAGAATAAAAGAAAACACAATATAATGTATAAAGATACAACATGGAGAAGCAAAATGTATAAGTTGCAGTAGCCATAAGATATTCAGAGTTCAATGAGGAGTCCACTTTATTATTCACAATCATCAATACATGCATCCTTCACATACCATTAGTGCCGTCGAGAGATCATCCTTTGTCACATCAGTGCCCTCAGTTGTTGGCTGCGAACACAAAAGAGATAAGGACATGATAATGACTACCAAGGAAATCACATGAACAAAAATAACTACCATATTTTCTGAAGTAGAAGCACTATTAGTTGTCAAAGAGACTCCAATCACTCATTAAAGGATCTTGAAGAGCAACATGAAAGAAGTAGAACTTAGAAACTAAGTGTTATAAGCTTACATGTGTAAAATGAATGGGAAAGTAACAGCCCAAAATACTGAAGATGTCACTAATGTAGCTTGAAACTGGGCCAGAAGAATGTGGATATGCTTTCACAAGAAGTTCCACAATATGGAATGTTAGCATTAGGCACTGCGGATCCTTTTCCCCATCAATAGCTGCTAAGATTCCATAAACAAAATCATGGTCCTACACCACAATGAACGATGAATTTAACATCAACATCCAAAAAGACAAATCTGATAAACACTATACAGAGAAAAAGAATAATAAGCATATAAATTTTAAGAATCAACAAATCATAGCAATTAGCAACAACTACCGCCCTTATCAAAATATAGCAACACACATATCTAGAAACTGGTAGAAGAAATGCTCCTAAACAATATGAACGAATTTATATACATTAAGAACTCTAATATGCTACCTAGATGTAGTTATGATTATGCAGGTGTATGTGCAGCAAAAA